GAAGGTGTTCAGCTTCCTCTCCTGCCATGCACAAAGGGTCCAGGACTCACTGCAGTACAGGCGTGTGCTCAGGACACAGGCTCTATAGACCTGGATCTTGGTATATCTGCCGTTAGCTTCTTATTGAGCCATACTCTCTTATGTGAGTCTAGAGAACATGGTGGCTGCTTTGCCAATGGGTTGATGACCTTGGAAGAAGTTGGTCTGGCAGGCAAACACAGAGCCAAATTGTGGAGGGCTTTCTAGTTAAGCATCAAGACCTTGAACCTGAACCTGGGACATTAACAGGCAGGCAGACCAGGAGGACTGGAACTGGCAATCTGTGTTGAAACTTGCCCGCACCAGCTCTCTCCCCCCCCCAAAGTCTCTGGCTGCCGCAAGCTGGACCTCTTGAAGGCTACGGGTCAGTCTCAAGGGAAAGTCCACGGAGTGACTGACTCGCAAGAGGCGGAAGAGACTCTTCGGCGCCTTGGTGGCTAGCCCGGATGTGAAGTTCCCATGGCTCCTGGCCTTCCCAGGATTCAGGAGAGGGGATGGTTAACATCTGACATCCTGCTGAGTTTTGCAGACCTCAAAAGATGGAATAGGTCCTGCAGCTTCCAGGGGTAAGATCCTGGCGCAGGATCAGAGATGTTGTCTCACACCCATGCCTGATGCTGCTCTGGCTTCGTGAGGATCCATCCTATCCCATTTGAGCAGCCAGGGGTAAAAAAACAGGCCTTCCAGCGCTCCCACATGCGCTCCACGAATAGCACAGAGAAAAAACGACGACCCCCATTTACCTGGGCTGCAGCCTTCTCACGAAATGCCACTTGTGTATGGGGAGCTATGCAAAGGGGTTTTTGCATTCCCGCCCCCTTCTGCCATTTGTCGTGAGCCCAGGTGTGTGATCTGAATACACAACCAACAGTCGGGAAGGCTGTGCATGCCACCGGTGTATTCTGCACTGTTCCAACACAATTCTGGCCCTGGTTGGCTAAGGGGGCTGCAAAGCTTCTGAGCCCATCGGATGCTTCAGTGAGGAAGGATGTGACAACTTGGAAGCTGAGGTGCCCGGACAAGGAACCGGCCAAGATCCTAGACCCATGCAGAAACTTGGGAGTTTGTGTGCAAACTCTTGCAGGGACACAGCCAAGACCCTGGAAGAGTGATGATCAACAAGTTCATGGCAGCTGCCTCACTCGATCTAACGGTAGGGCTGGTCCTCGTTATTGACTGTCAAGACAATCAAGAGATCGTTGTTGTGGTTTTTCAGGCTCACCCATCTCCTGAAAAGGACAAAAGCTGATCCCACAGCTATAAATACTCCACTCCCAAGCCAACTACACCAGAGCACAGAGTGCTGTCCTCTGAAGATGCCCATGGCCAGAGACTGGCAAAGCATTAACAAGAACAACCTTCAGAACACGGACAAAGAGCCCGAAAAACCCACAACAACTATCAAATCCTGGCTGTGAAAGCCTTCGAGAATACAAATCAAGAGATCATTCGGTGCCTTGGTAGGCAGACTGGAGGTGTCTTTCTCAGGGCTCCCATCATGCCAAACAACCAACGGATAAGACGAGGGGGCAACCATTTCTCTATCACATCTGGCTACAGCAGAAATAGGCTTGGTCCTGGCATGGATGCTCTCCAGATTAAAAACCTGGGGAGTACATTACAGATCACTGACAGCAGAGATGCTGTACCTACGCAGAGAGGCAAATTCGGACGGTGCCAAAGGAAGTGAAAATGCAGACAGCCCCTGACCTCGTTCCACCGCCTTGTCATAAACAGGCAAATCTTTTCAAAAAGACCAGCAGCTGCCGTTCTAAAAATTATTGTACTAAAACAATACCTTCTCTCTTGCTTTCGGTAAAATCAACCTTCACTTAAAGCGGCCGCCCCAGGTGAAAAACAACCAGCGACAAGTCCTTTGAAGTTTTGCTCTTTCATGCTGTTTTTAATGATGCTGGTGGCCACCTCAGACAATACCTTTGCGGTGGAAGGGCAGAACAGAAATGGGAGGGATGAGGAAAGAATGATTCATGCCCGAGCAAATTAAGCCACAGGGGGAAAAAAAAACCCAGATGAAAATATACAGCAAAAGTAGCTGTGCAAGAAGATGCCAGAGAAATACTCAAGATATTCACCTTTGCAAGCTTGGAAGCATACGTTTCCTTACTTTGCACCTTAAGAAAAATCTGACAGGTACCAGCCGAACAACTACAAAGGAAGTACTGTGTTTCCCCAAAAATATGACAGGATCTTATAATAATTTTTGCTTCAAAAATACATCAGGGCCTATTTTCACTTAATTTTTGCTCCAAAAATGCATCAGGGCCTATTTTCAGGGCATGTTTTATTTTTATGTACAATGATCTACATTTATTCAAATACAGTCGTGTCATCTTCTTCTGGTTGCTGCACAAGGGCGGAGGGCGGGGGTTCACTTCACTAGGGCTTATTTTTGGGTTAGGGCTTCTATGACGAGCATCCTGAAAAATCAGACTAGGCCTTATTTTCAGGTTAGGTCTTATTTTCGGGGAAACAAGGTATTTAGTAATTTCCGAGTGCCACCACGAGATAGTCCATCTGCTTCAGTGCCAAAGGGCTTGACAGATAAAGCCAGACTTCTGACGAGGTCCTTAAGCTTCGCAGGTACATGAGTGATTTCTTCAGCACTGATTCATAGATTTGCCAACTCCTGCGCTCCACTTTTCTCCTGCTTAATAAAGGGAGTTATTTAAAATACCTAGTAAAACACAGTCATGAAAGCCTAAAACTAGCAGTCAACAATAAAATTAAACAAGAGTTAAAAGTTTGCCTTAAATAAAAAACTTATCTTGCCAGCAGGAAAAAAATTGATAGGAACAAGACTTAAGCTCTTGTGGCAGGGAGTTCCACATGCAAAGTGGTTTTGCTAAGCAAGCCTCTCACTTTGTTGCTCATGATGAAGCCTCTGAAGGAAATGGCATACTCCCTCCCCAGAGGGATGCAACAGGTGAACTTTACAAATTGGCAGGATTACATGGGAGGAGATGGCCTTTCGAGTCATCAGGCTTCAACACGTAAAACAGTGGTCCCCAACCTTGGCCTCCAGATGTTCTTGGACTACAACTCCCAGAAGCCTTCACCACCACCTCTGCTGGGCAGGATTTCTGGGAGTTGAAGTCCAAGAACATCTGGATGCGCAAGGTTGGGGACCACTGCCGTAAAAGACTTTAAAAGAGATAACTAGCACCTGAAACTGCTCTCTGAAATCAGAACTAAAAGTTGGTACAGGAGATAACAGGAAAGAGGTCACACTGTCCCAGCATTTTGCCCTGGTGAAAATTCTAGCGGAAGCCTTCTGTGCTAGTCTGAGCTCCGAAGTGGTCTTCAAGGGTAGCCCCATGCAGAGCACATTACAGTAGTCCAGTTATGATATAATTAATGCATGGAGGATTGTGGCTAAGAAAGTATACACCAGAAGCAGACACGGCTGGTGCACTAGTCAAACATGAGCAGAAGCATTTGTTTGTTTGTTTGTTCATTTATTTATTTATTTGATTTATACCCCGCCTATCTGGACCATCGGACCACTCTAGGCAGCCTATCTGGACCACTCTAGGCGGCATTCCTGACTAAAGCCAGTATCAAAGCACCTCATAATACCAGGTCCCAAGGAGAGCCAGGCTGCAAATCTGATCAATTAAGTGGGACTGACACATCCCCTCCGAACAGAATAACTTCTTATCACTGGGCCCGAGGGCTTCCGAAATGACAGAACCACAGTCTTGTCTGAATTTTACATCAATTTCCTCTAGTTTCCTGCTCTCTTTTTAAAAAGCAAAAACAACTCCATTTCAGGCAGGGGTGGAAACATATTTCAATTAAAAACATGCTAATAAGAAAAAAAAAATAATTTTGAAATGGGGGAGTGATGCTCTTAAAGCACTTTTTAAAAAGAAACCACAATACACATGTTCATCCAGTTGAATGAATAAGCGATTTCATTCAAGCAAGGTACAGTACTGACTTTAACTGAGAAAAAGACCCAAAAAGCCTTAAAAGTTTTTTTTTTCCTAACACAGCATGGGATAAGAACCTGTTATAGGGCCTGTAATATCCGTGGTGCAACAGGCACTATCCAATAGACCCCTGCGATGCTGGAGCACAATACAAGTACTTGTTAAGTTGAGCCGAGCGGATTGTCCTTCTTAAGACTCGGGCGGTCCCTCCAGCAAAACTGAGGGATACCTCCTTCCCAAAATAGGCTTCACAAGCGACGGGGCCACAGGAAAGCCAAACCGCGTGTTCTGTGAAGGAGTTAAAACCCACAACACTGAAAAGAATATTTCCTCTGGAGCGCTATAGTTTCGCACACCCTGGGAATTGTCTTCTCCAATTTGGTTCGGACAGCTGCACCGCCTGATCTCACCGCCGCGCAACCTCTTACCGCTTCGTTACGTCGTCCATAATTGTGTTCCTGAAGGCTCCATCAATATCTCGGAGAGAGCCGGGGCGCTTTTCGGTCAAATCTCCCTCCACCCCATTCATGCAGATTGGGGGGGCTTGGGGACCCAGCTCAGCAAGGCGAGGCCGAGCAAGAAATGAGAGAGAGAGAGAGAGAGGGAAGGTCTCCTTTACTTGATCCCAGGAGCGTCTCTTGAGATCCACAGAAAATGTGTGACAGGAATGCAGGGGACGATGGTTTCTCCCCAGCGCAAGAGCACTCTGCCTCTGCAGGAAAGCGTTGTGGCCACAGAATGGAACACAACAAGCAAGCAACCCTTTCTCTCTCTCTCTGCCTCCCCCCCCCCACAGCACACAGGCATTTAAGGAGCTTCCTGAGTCTTCAAAACAGCACAAAGGAAGCCCAGCTATTATACGCTGCCTGGCTGCATCCAGTAACGTAAAAACAAACCGCCAAGATGGAGCTGATTGTTTCCAATTAAAAAAAAAAAGAAGGATTCCACATCTCGGCAGCTCCCGGTTGCCTTCTCCTGCTGACTCTCCCCTTTTAGGCATCTGCCTCTGGATTTCTCCCTTCGTTGGACGTCTGGACCAGTCCTGGCAAGCCCATGACTCACCCGGGTCTGCCAATATCCTAAACTGATTCCCCCACTTCTCTGGACTCGCCACCTTCTTCGCCTCTTCTCCGCCTGCGGCAAAGGCCCACGCTCCTTTTCCTCCCCCTTTCCGAGGCTCTTCTTCATCCCTGACCTCTTTGTGATCTCCCACCAAAAGCAAGCTGGGGAAAAGGAGGGCAACTGAACCAATCAGGCCCTCCCTCCCCCCCCCAAATAAAAGCAAAATATGCTGCTTATATACTTCCCCACAGGACTTAAAAGCACTCCCAGGGCGGTTTACAATTGGATGATGCAGGCTACACATTGCCCCCCACCCCACCTCTGCTGGCAAGCTGGGTACTCAGTTTACCCACCTCAGAAGGATGGAAGGCTGAGTTATCCACAAACCAGTAACTTGGGCTCATTGGGATAGAACTCAGGTTGTGAGCAGAGTCTTCACTGCAGTTTAAAGCAAAGCAAAAAGCAAAGCCTTCTGCTTATATACCGCCCCATAGCGCTTCAAGCACTCTCTGGGCGGTTTACAAGTTAATTATGCAGGCTACATATAAAACACACACACACACACCCAGCGAACTGGGTCCTCATTTCACCGACCTTGGAAGGGTAGAAGGCTGAGTCAACCTTGAGCCGGCTCCCTGGGATTGAAACCCAGGTCGTGAGCAGAGTTTGGGCTGCAGTACAGCGGTTTTAACCACAACACCGCACAGCCCTGCAGATTCTAGACCCTGATCACCACTGCCACCAAAGCTCTTAGACTTCTCCTCTTCTGCATTTCTACCCACTCTGTTTTCCCAAGTGAAACAGGAGGAGGGGGGGGGACACCCGGCATTTTCAGGCTGACCGCTCAAGGCGCAGGGGATGGGAATGGGTGCCTTCTGCGCCCAAGGTCCCAAAGCCGCCACCAACCACCAGCACCACCAAAGTAGGCCCAAATGGGGTTGATGGACCAACAGGTTGAGCGGGCATAAGGTCGCTTCCTACATCCTTCTGCTGTTGACCAAAAAGTTGGCGGACTACAATTCTGAGAATCCTGAGGCCAGCAGGACCCCTGGTCACTTCCATCCTTTAAACACCAGAGCGTCGATCCAAACATTCATCACAGCTTGGGCTATCCCACGGCAACCCTTCGCGGCTCAACGTTGGCATCAATCTCTTTTGGGGGGGGGGGGACTCTGGAAGGCAACATCAGGAAAAAGCGTTTTCCCACGCTCCCAAACAACCTTCTACGTGTCAAACATGTGCTCAAGCCGGGAGCTGAGCCCGTTTCTCTTGAGGGGGGCTTGCCCGACACCAGCCCTTTGGCTCCGTTCGTCCCTGGCATTCGGCAGGGCCTGGTCACACGATCCGTAATGCACGTCTTCCTACCTAGGGGGGGTCAACCAGCTCCACCTCCGGCGGTGCCTAGGAGAGGCTTTTCAGCGTGGCACCGGCCACGTCCTTTCACATCCTCACAGCCCTGGCGTGGTTACCTCCAGAACGGACCCCGGAGGCCGTGACAGAAGCTGCCTAGAAGGGGAAGGGTCTTTTTGGGACTCCCCTCTTTCTTCTCCTCTCCCCGTTGCGCTTCTAATGGCCTTGAAGCCGTTTGGATTCAGTGCTTGTTTTTAATATGACAATTTATCCAACTGCGTTGTCATCCTATAAGGAAACTGTGCCTTGAGCACGGTGTTTTAATTCACGCTCTGGACAAGGCAGAGCGCACAATACAAATAACACAGCATAACATAAAGCGCAGAAAATCAGGTCGTGGCTCGACTGGAGCCCACCTCCCACCATTTTGGGGAAAGATCAATAGCACCCGGTGGTGATTCCGATTTCAGGGTCTCTCTGAATCCAGGGTGTTGTATCCTACTTGCAAAACGCATGGATAACTCTTACAAAGTACAAGCTTAAAGCCCCTACAGCTGATGCACCAAGCTTCTGAACCTGGAGTCACCATCAGCCACCTCCAGGTACCTATCTTCTGCTTGTCCCATAATAACCTTAGAACTGAAGAGGACCCTCAGGGATCATCCAGCCCAGCCCCTGGCAAGGAGGCATCTTGCGGGAATCAAACTCCCAACCTCTGGCTCCATAGCCAGAGACCTAGACCTTTAAGATCTCTAGCAGTTCTTTATGGCCTCCCTTGGTTTTAAGCTCAATGCCTCTCAAGAAGGACAGCTGGCTTGTTTTCTCTATAGAGCAGGCCACTCTCCCTGACACACACACAAACAGAGACACAAACACACAAATCCTCTCACACACCAAAATGATACTTGTGTAAAGAGAGATCACCACACGGATGCAAAGAGGAAGACAGAAATCCTAAATACAATGAGAACAATGTCGTTGGGGGAGGGAGTTGCAATCATGTTGCAGCAAAAACATTTTTTTAAAAGGTCTTGAAATCCCTTAAAGGCAACCTTTTTATTATGCACTCCTTGGTTCATCAGAAGCACAAAAACCAAAAACAACAGTAAGAACATAACACGAAGACCCTCACTCCAGCTCCGTTCTGCTACACGTACAAAATGTGTTTTCGGGGCTGCTACTGTTGTTGTTATGATTCAAAAACACCAAACACCGTCGATCAAAATTATAAAAACATTGACTGGTATTATAGATCAGAAACAAGTTTTAACCTAAAATCTAAGTATCTGTCAAATATCGGCACAGTATGTCGTTCCCAATATTGTCATTGTTATTATTGCTGTCATTGCTTTCAGAATTCTTCCACTATTAATTCTAGTGGATACTTTCCACCAAAGCAGCTCTTCTAAACTCTACTACCGAGAGGGCAGAGTTCTCATCCAATCGCTTCCAGCCAATTCCTTATGAATGAATGATTGCCAAAATGCCCAGTCCTCTTGCAGACTTAAGCCTGCTTTTGGGTGCATGAGTGCTGAGCAGAGCGGTTAATGGCGAGACTTTTCTGAGGACTTTAAGTCACAGGGTTGCCGTCCGTTGGAGGTGAGAGCACCCAGCGATGCCGGCTTGAGAAAACTAGGGTATAGCCCTCGTTCAGCTGCCAGGAACATGGAGGAGCAAAGAACAGGAATGGCATTGAGATCAGCAGGACCCCCCAAGTGCCCACGGGAATGTGTTCCACGCCATGTGCTCCACTGCTTCCCAACCTTGGGTCACCAAAGTGTTCTTGGACAGTCATTCCCAGAAGCTTTCACCACCAACCGGGCTGGCCAGGGTTTCTGGGAGTTGCAGTCCAAGAACACTTGGGGGGGGGTTACCCAAGGTTGGGAGCCACTGATGTAACTCCTTCCGAGCAGTCTTGAGCCCCTCCAGGTACAGGTGGGTCATTATCGCCTTGGAAGGCGGCCAAGATGCATTAGCTTTGCTTCTGAGCACTGTGAGCGAAACAGTATTTAAAACAAATGGAAAGCATTTCGAAGACATCAATATCCCCCAAGAAAGGAAAGCTGCTGCCAGTTGGACAGACTGCTGCTTTTTCAGAACGCCCGAACGAGGAGTAAAAAGATCTGGGCGACACTTACTCCACAGTCTGACACTAGCAACTTCTCACCTGACTTCATTCAGACAACGTGCATCTTAAGGTATGTAACGGGGGACGAACAGAGACGAATAAGGCGTTTGTTCAAATAACCCAGATCCAGTTTATTTAAATTTTTGAAAGGCAAATGATAGAACCACAGCCTGAAAGAAACTTATAAGAAGTGCATTTCTGCATTTATGTAATAGAGCCTCTGCACTTAAGATCTTTGCTATATAGCCAGATATATAAATTTTAAACACGGTATCCTCCAGAACTGCCCAAGTTATGTGGTCAACCAAATGGAGGAAGACATCTAAATGTCAATGTGGGAAGAGCTCCTTCTTATACTTGTACAGTATCTTAAGAACTGGTTCCCCTCATGTTCTTGTTGTTTAGTCGCTAAGTCATGTCCGACTCTTCGTGACCCCATGGACCAGAGCACGCCAGGCCCTCCTGTCTTCCACTGCCTCCTGGAGTTGGGTCAAATTCATCTTGGTTGCTTCGATGACCCTGTCCATCCATCTCATCCTCTGTTGTCCTCTTCTCCTCTTGCCTTCACTCTTTCCCAACATCAGGGTCTTTTCCAGGGAGCCCTCTCTTCTCATGAGATAGCCAAAGTATTGGCGTCTCAGCTTCAGGATCTGTCCTTCCAGGGAGGACTCTGGGTTGATTTCCTTCAGAACGGATAGGTTTGTTCTCCTTGCAGTCCAGGGGACTCTCAAGAGCCTCCTCCAGCACCACGATTCAAAAGCATCCATTCTTTGGCGGTCAGCCGTCTTGATGGTCCAGCTCTCACTTCCATACAACGCTCCTGGAAAACCAACAGCTTTGGCTATGCGGACCTTTGTTGGCAAGGTGATGCCTCTGCTTTCCCCCTCATGCCAGCCCATAAATAAGGTAGGCTAGACACCTGGCAGTTTCTGCTGAAAGGCAGTATTTCAGAAGGCCAAAGATGTTGCTAGATTTTATACTTACAAGCAGAACATGGGAATACGGCTTTCCAGGTGGGAATGGGTGCG